ACCGACTTTGGTCAGATCAGAGTAATCATTGAATATGATTTCTATCATAGTCAGATCTTTCTCTATCATAAAAATAAACGTTAGAGTATCAAAATTATTCTCATATAAATACCACTTTGTTATTATCAAAACTTAGAGATATCTTGCAGAACCAAATCTTGTTCTAACAAATTTGACTTGTGAGGACTTTTAGAGATGCAAATTGACTCATGAATGATTACTATATGAAAGAATTATGAATGTGATAGTGTGTTATGGTTTGTTTGCTAGAATCATGCAATCATGAAGATGAAAGCATTAATTAGTTCAATATATGGATCAAGATAAGAAGACATTTTAAATATAGTCACTATAAACATATAAAACATAACACTGGATGTTCACATTAACATTTTTGGAAGTGAAGATATATTGCAGACATCATACACATAATACATAACATATTTTCTGGAAATAAACAAGAAAAAGTAATACTTACTTACAAAATAAGTAAAGGATTGAAATGATATTACCTCACCATACACGAGACGGAGGATGCACATGTATTCAACGAGGATTATCAAACGAAAGTTGTAATTAATGCAACATGTGCCATGCAACACAAATGAAACTGAAATGTTCTTACCACGTTTCTTCTTCTTTTCTTCTTGCACAAGTATTTGAAAGTAAAATTAATAATGTATCCCAGAGGTACTTTGGCTTGATGATCATCCTTGTTGTTGGAATTTCAATTTTTTCAATCATGATGATTATCTTGCTCCTCTTCATGTTTTATCATCTTATGTTGATCACTCCTAATTTGATGCACTTGAGTATGTCTTGTTGAAGATGAATCTACATCATTAAACATAATACATTTCCAACACTTCTTGGATAGAAAACATTAGTAATCATTAAACTCTTTTACCAAATAAATATAAATTAATCGTTAACCTTCTTGGCAACACAATCTGCCTTGCTTGTCAAATAGTTAACACAATACGAACATGTCACCTTATTACGCCTTGAGCTTCCATAAAAAAAATCACATACTCTCTTCTTAGAGTCAAGACATTTTTCTTGCATGATTAACAATTAGTACTAGGTACCCAATCATCATTGGGTCCTTCGGGACTAGGAAAACTTTGGTTGCATTTAGGTAACCATTGAAAAGCACCTTTAGGATCAAAGAGTTTCCTAAACTTGCACTTAGCAATAGTGTGACCATTCTTGCAACAATAATAACAATACGAATTATGAAAAGATAACCTTTTTCTATTTGGTTCCTTTATAATGTAACTATACCTATAAGGATTATGAGAAGGCAAGTCATGTTTGGGAGTATCTATAGCAAAAGTAACCTCGGGTTGCAAAGCCTTATCTAACTTGGCTTTAAGAGTCCTCGAATCTTTTTTTCCAAATATAACAAGTTTCACAATCAAACCATGAAGGTTTAGTGACCTCATTTTGATCTTTTGGAATATCAAGTATGGACTTCCTTAGAGCTTCCAAATTCTTTTCATTTTCTAAAATCTTAGCTTCCAAATGAGAAAAAATCATCTTGTTTGAAATTAATCTTTTGAAAGCATCTATGGTCTGTCTTTGTAGATTTTCAAAAGATTTTTGAAGTTGAGAAAAATTTAAGTCATGAGAAGATTGAAGTTTAGAGTGACTTACAACATTTTTCTTTCCTTTATTGGCCATATAGCAAAGCTTTGTCGACTCAACACTTGGGGTAAATCCATCATCACTTGAAGAATCAATTTCTCTCTCCTAAGCGGCAAAAGTTCTTATAGACTTCCTAGACCTCTTGCCATGGCTCTTTCTTTTTCTTTCTTGATTTTAGGACACTTCGGCTTAAAATGGCATGGTTTTCCACAATTGTAGCAAGTACTTCTAGACTTACCCTTTTTTTTCTCATCTTCTTTTGAGGAGTTAGATAACCTTCTTAATTTTTCATGGTTCTTGTAGGGATATTTGTCATCATGTTTCCACATGTATTTATTGATCCTCTTTATAAACAATCTCATATCTTCTTCATCATAATCATTGTCATCTTTAGATTCACAATCCAGTAGCTCATAATGTGAGGACTTTAAGCTAAATGTCCTTAGAGCTATGAACTTCTTGTCTTCTTCCTTTTCTTTGCCTTTCTTCTTCTTCATGTTCTTTTCTTGCTCTTTTTCATATTTTACTAAGCAAGTCAGTTCTTGATCATGCTCTTCTAATTTACTGAACAATATCGTGAGATCAAGCACTTTAAGATCATTTGCCTCTTTAATAGCAGTGACCTTGGGTTGTCATTCCATACTTAAACATCTCAACACTTTATTAGTAGAAATCTCATTGAAAATAGGCTTACCTAGTGCATTTAATCGATTGATAAGATGTGCGAACCATTTTCGCATGTCCGTAATAGTTTCACCATGTTCAATACGAAATAGCTCAAACTCTTGATTTAATATGTTAATACTAACTTATTTGACATCATTAGTACCCTTTTGGGTAACCTTTAATGTGTCCTGCATAGTTTTGACGGTCTCACAATTAGAAACGTGATAATACTCATCAACACTAAAAGCGAATGTGAGAATATTTTTCGCTTTCTAATCATGTGACCATAATTTCTAATCATTAGCATCCCATTGTGCTTCTAGTTTAGGTAATGTAACACATTCATCATTGGTCATGGTTATTTCCTTTGGACCATTTTTTGTGGCTTTCCATATACCTTTGTCAACGGAGTTGACATAAATACGCTTACAAGCTTTCCAATAGCCATAATTTTTGCCGGTGAAAATTGGTGCTCTATTGTACGCTCTCTTAGGTTCAGTAGTCATTCTTCTAAAAAGTAAATCTTAAACACGGAAAAAATCAGAGCTCCTAATATCACTGGTTAGACGATAGGCTTTGATCTAGAAAGGGGTGAATAGATCACAAATTTAAAAATATAACTTTTGGCTAAAATGGTTTTCAAAATTTTTATGGCACAACGGAAATAACCCGAATCGAATCGTCTATCTCAATCTACTATCGAAAAGCTCGGATGTGTGTAAAGTTACACAATTGAATGATAATAAACAAAAATTATTCAACAACGATTAATCACAAATCAATTAAATGCTAAGCTACACGTAGAACTTATTTCTAATGATAAAAAATCAATTAAAAGCGATAGAGACAATTTATCGAACACCTTGTGTGCAATCGATAACGTTTGAAAATTTAATTTGATTTGTTGATGTTAAACTCAATCACAACCAAAGTGATTATGAATATATCAACAAACCGTAATTCAAAACATAATCAAAAAGTTTATTTCCAAATGAATTTATCAAAATTACATTTAGCCATGTTTTGAATGATGTCAAAACTAGGAACAACTTTAGCGCTTTCGTACATTGTACGGTATCAAACAAATTTTAGATGGTCACCCAATCAAAAAATGATTATGTGCGGTTCGATTGTGTGTATGCATAGAAGAGAGGTTGAAGATGATAAATATCTTTGTAATTCTGATTTCGTTTAGGTTTTACACTAGAAAATTATGCATATATATATATATATATATATATATATATATATATATATATATATATATATATATATATATATATATATATATATATATATATATATATATATATATATATATATATATATATATATATATATATATATATATATATATATATATATATATATATATATATATATATATATATATATATATATATATATATATATATATATATATATATATATATATATATATATATATATATATAATAAATATCTTTGTAATTCTGATTTCGTTTAGGTTTTACATTAGAAAATTATGCATATATATATATATATATATATATATATATATATATATATATATATATATATATATATATATATATATATATATATATATATATATATATATATATATATATATATATATATATATATATATATATATATATGAGAGATAAGGAGTAAAAGGAATGTAAAAAAAAATTGAAAGAAAAAACAAAATTTTAATTTTTGAATGCAATAGGTCGGCGTATGAAAGTAATAGGTCGACCTATAAAGATTTTAGGTCGGCCTATCTGAGGTGACCTAAAAAAAATGACTACATCTTTTATTATTGAAATATGAAAATCGACTCGAACAAATTATGTATCGATTTATACTGAAACAAAAACTTCTATAAATCGACCAGGATGCTTATTTATGACCTATGCAACATTTGAGTAAAATTATGTGAGTGAATGACCAAAGTCAAACAAAGCATAATTAAAATATTAAAAGTAAAGTGAATAGATTTCCAAGATTAAATGCATACTTAAACCAACTTATTTTATGCTATATTATAAAAACCTCAATCCAACAAACCATGGATAAGGATTACCACGTCACTTTAACTTTCTTTCTCGAACAAACAATAAAAATAATTATAAAAGAAAAAAAAAAAAAAAAAACCTAGCTCTAATCCACAACTGACACGTGTCCTTCTCTCACCTCTATTTTCACCTTCAAATCCACCTCTTATTCCGGTAATTCTTAGCAAATTTTTGAACTTCACCTTCATTTATGTTTTTCTGCGCCGATACCTGCCACCAATTTTCCGGCATGCTTCTAACTTTCCGTCGCCGGCGACGCCGTTGATAGATAAATTCTCCGGTATGAACCGTTCCATGATACACTCTTTGTTGATTTGGAAATGCTAGATCTATCCATAGTTTCACATGTTCGTTCCAAAACTTGGTTTCACAAGAGAAAAAAAATTAACCCCATTTCATCATTCTCTTACCTCTCTCTTCTCTTTAATTTCCCTTCCAATTTTTGTTAATACGTCGTTATAATCTGCGAAATTTGTACATATTATCTGCCTTGGATTTTCCAATTTTATGGATTTGGGAATTTTTGTATAGTTAGGGTTTGTAATAGTGTTAAGGTTTGAAGGTGTTTTTGAAGTAAGATAAGAAAATTAGATTTTGGTTGAGTTTGAGTTTCTGAAAGTGGCTAAAATGAATATGACCGTTGACGAGGAAGAATCAGAGGGAGAGATTCATGTCCCAGCTGAAATTGATTGGAAAATGCTTGATAAATCGAAGTTTTTCTTCCTTGGTGCCGCTTTATTCTCTGGTGTTTCAGCAACCTTGTACCCTGTTGTTGTGTTGAAAACTAGGCAACAGGTTGCTCAATCACAAGTATCTTGCATCAAGACTGCTTTTTCGTTGATTAAAGGCGAGGGATTTAGAGCTTTGTATCGCGGATTTGGTACTTCGTTGATGGGTACAATCCCTGCTAGAGCTTTATATATGGCTGCACTTGAGGTTACCAAGAGTAATGTTGGGACTGCTACTATTGGTTTTGGTCTTGCTGAACCAACTGCTGCTGCAATTGCCAATGCAGTTGCTGGTTTGACTGCTGCTTTGGCAGCACAGCTTGTGTGGACCCCAGTTGATGTTGTGAGCCAAAGATTGATGGTTCAAGGTGGTTGTAATTCGAGTGATCCTAAGGTTTCTTCTGTTAGGTATGTGAATGGAATTGATGCATTTCGGAAAATCGTTAAGACGGATGGTCCTAGGGGTTTGTATAGAGGTTTTGGGATATCCGTTTTGACGTATGCGCCTTCTAATGCAGTGTGGTGGGCTTCATATTCTGTTGCACAAAGGATGGTTTGGGGTGGAGTTGGATATTACTTGAGTAGCAAGAAAGGTGGGGAAGGGAATGATAGTAACAACGGAACTAATGCATTGAGGCCGGATACGAAAACTATTATGGCTGTTCAAGGAGTCAGTGCAGCAATGGCAGGAGGTATGTCTGCCTTGATTACTATGCCATTGGATACAATCAAGACAAGGCTGCAAGTCATGGACGGCGATGAGAACGGCCGCCGTGGACCAAATGTGATGCAGACAGTTAGAGGTTTGGTTAAGGAAGGTGGTTGGACCGCTTGTTATAGAGGATTAGGACCTAGATGGGCTTCAATGTCTGTGTCTGCAACAACAATGATCACAACCTATGAGTTGCTTAAACGACTTTCGACAAAGAGTCAAGATGTTTTGACATGATGAATGCTATAAATTACAACAACAACAACAACAACAACAAAGAACAGAGAGAGGGAAAGAGGTTTTTCCCCTCTCTTCTTTTGTCTAAATTCTACTCTTATCTTTTCTCGTCTCATTTTTTTCCTTCTGTATGGGCTAGCTAGCATGACTGTTTGATCAAAGTAAGTCATCGCAGGTGTATATATAAATAAATTCTTTTTTTCTAACACATTACATTTCTTCTTTCTCATTAAAGTCATGCATATGCTTCATGCTTAATTTGGAAGCTTCTTTTGTTAATCATGTGCCATTCTGGTTTAAAAGATGGATAGCTATTAGTTTTCAAATTAAAATAGCATCTAGTAGCTACGAATCCAGTGGATTTCAATATTGTGTGGTTTTGGTTTTCAACTTGAAGCTTGTTAATCATGTTATAAAGGCTTAAAGAACAGAGAATTCAATTTATTACAATATTCAAGATACTTTGATGTATATTTTTACTCATGGATACCTAATATGTTATAGATCTATGATATTAGGACACGTTTCTAGGGTTTATATAGACACACATCTAGATTTTATGACATTATTAAGTCTTTCTATACGTAAGTTATAGTATGGAAGCTCTCTAGTGCTGTAAAGAAATTGTAGGATCTCTACTCATTAGTTATGAGAAAATGGGAACAACTCGAATGCATTTTCACTTTATTTAGAGTTAGGTTAGGCTCAACTTGTATGCATTTTGTATTTTTATATTATTTAGAGCTAGATTAGGTTCCTTGTGGATAACTTTAGTTGAATGTTGGATTGTTAGGGTTACCAACATGATGAGAAGGTGGACCAGAGGAGTTAGTTAGGCCAGTGCTAAATTAGGAAATTACATATTAGTCCATTATCCCAAGAAAATTACATAGTAGCTAGCTCCCTTTTGCAAATGACATTGTTCTCTATATAGTCTTGAAGAGACTAAAATTATTGTTTTCTCTAGGTTTAGGCCCACAAATAATTTAAATAATCTCATCCTATAAATTAGGGTTTATTTTTTCCATACATGTGCAAGACTTTAATAATGCTGTCAGTTATAAACTAAATTGACATGTAACATTTAGTGCTAAAATGAATTCATGTTTTGTTTTAAGCATTGTTCATTTCGGATAAGATTCAACTTCTGACAGTCTTGATGTGTGCATCTTAGTTTTATTAAGGTTTAAGAGTCACTATGTAGCTTACAAGTTACTACAACTTACAACTAGTGGAAGGCTTGAAGCACTAGTGCTATGAACATGTCACTTGTCAAAAGAAAAAGAATGATTTTAAATATCATTAAGAAAAAGCTCTTGCCTTTCGTATAGTTATTAAACTAGAATAAACAATACAAGACGATGTTAAGCCATAACATAAGCCTCTCCATCTTTGACAGATAACAAAGAGTCATGGTATATAGTTTTTGTTTTGATAAAATTACAAGTATGATCTCACGAACATATACCAGTGCGCACTAGGTTTTGTTTGTGGCTTATCAAGTGTATTGAATAAAAAAATATTAATAGTTTTGTTGAGTTTTCAATGAGATGTATACTTGGTTGGGCACAAACCCAAGAAAAAAACAGTTTAGGCACGCATATAGTTGTGTACTATCATTTAGTTATATTAAAATTATAAAATTATACATTATGAGTTAAATGGATACTTATTGAAAGGGTAAAATAGTTTTATAATGTTATCCAATAAAAAACCAAAAGTATGTTGTGTTTTTAAAGAAAAAATAAATTATAAATGTGATGTGGTGATATACATGATTAGTGTAAAAATAACGATCATTAGTGTAAAAATAATTTATAGCATTAGTGTATCACTCATTTTTTAACTTTTCTATTTTTTTTTTTTTTTTTTTTTTTTACTTTTATGAGAGTGTGTGTTTATACTTGTGTCTATCTTGTGCCCATATAAAATTTTTTCGTTTTTAATAACCACTTTAATAAAAAATAAACTATGTTTTTTTATTATTTTGAGTCTTTCTATTTTAAAAATTAATTTTTTATTCCTCAACTTTATATCGTTTGAGATTTAACGGATCTCCTTCTAGGTTTGTAAATGTGATAATGATGAATACTATAAAAAAATTAATTTTTAATGGTGTGACATTGATAGGTAGGATAATTTATTAATTAATAATTTTAGGTTGATTGTTATACACCAATCCTTTAAAAAAAATTTATATCATTAATTTATTATGACCATCTATTTGTGTGATTATTATAAGAGTTAAACTCTCTAACGAAGAGTGATTGTAATTAAACTGAATAAAATATATTTTTATATTTTTAGTCTATTTTAATTAAATTTTAAATTAGTAATTAATAATTTTAATTAAACTTTTTAAAAAATTAATTAAAAATTTTATAAGAAATTTTGGCCTCTAGCCTATTTCATTTCAGCATTAGTTTAGTGTCTAAATTGCTATTGAATAACTATTATTGAATTTTGGCCTCCTAGATCTCTCGTTTCTCTTTAAAAAATTATATTCACGTTGGAGTTATTTTCTTGGTACAAATGTATTCTTGTATTGCAATATGTCTTTAAAACTCTGCATTTAATGTTTCTACGATATTCAACATTTTCTCCATTTCCATCCGCTCTTTGTCTATCTATCGCACTTCGAAAAAAGTGAGAGCAAGACCTCGCAAAGAAAGCTTGTAGATTGGACTGATAGAAGAGTCGTCACCAAATTTTATTTATTCTCAAAAGAGAGAAAGAAAAAATATCAATAAAATCCACATAACGGAAAAGATAGGACATGGTTATCGCAATCACTGTCGATTATATAAGGGGAAGATATTAGCACTCCTACATTTGTTGTATCCAACAGGAACCATCTAGGTTGTCTGCACATGGAAGGGTGTCGTTTATCTGCTAAAGGGAAAGGGATGTTTTTTATTAGGGTGCTTGTCTCGGCGTTGGCCTTGTGCCTATGTACCTTCATGGTGCAATGAGGAAGTCAGAGCTTCATAGTTCAGCCTAAAAAAATGTTTGTTTGTTCGTTGATTTTACCTTGAAAAAGGATTTTCGAAGTGTGGCCCTAAAGCGCAAAAAGAAAAGTTTGATGAGTTGATGTTGTTTTTTATGATTTTTGAAGAGATTATTCTTGATTAGGATTGCACTAAAGATTATGGATAGAGGTGATTATTTTAAGCAACCAAGTCGAGCTCTTGTGTCGAAATAATCAGAGTGAGTGTAGGAGAGCTTCAGCTTCACTCCTTCTCCACCATTTAAGACCCGTGGCGTACAATCCCAATCGTATCTTATTGTTTTTGAATTTGCTTAAGAAAAATCCATTTGATGTTAGATCAAAGGTTTGTTGGATTAAGGAAAACCTAAGCAACTAGCAAGTAAAGAGAAAGCGATAAAGTTATTACATGTCATGAGAGTGAGGATACATTTTTCCAAATGGGGATGGAATAAGCAATAGACACACAACCCAAATGATAAACTAAACGTGTACTAGCAAGATGAGCTAGTCTTTTAGACGACCAACTGGAAGTAATTGATCGAATAAGTCTCATTGTAAGAAAGTTCAAGAGTAAGCTATGAATGATGTGCAATGGTGTCCTAAGACAAAGTAATACAAGATAGAGAATTCCAATCCAAAGCTCCTTTGCTAGGGTTTATGTACAAGGTTCAAACTCCATGGTGTCAAGGATAGTAACCATAGTCCAAGTTTGAAATTTTTTTAGGGTTTTGATCTTTTATCGTGTTTTGTGTTATTTTAAAGAGATGAACAAATAAAGATGAAGATGACAATGCAATATGAATAATAAGATAAATGAACAATGATATAAGTTGCGGAAAGTAAGTAGCAAGAGAATAAAGAGCGGAAATTAAAGTTATATGCTAGTTGTTAATTGTTATTGATCGGATGATCAGTTTTCGAATCGGGGACCAATTGAGTGCTATGTTAAGCAATCGTAGCACAATCTATGAGGAAAATCATACTATGGGAGGCCGATCAATAACAATATTTGTGTTAAAACACGATAGAGAAATAATATGTAGATCATTCTCCTAAAGTCGTTCCACACGAAAAGAAAAAGAGAATGGTTTCATCTTAATTAAGAACTTCCATAGGTAACCTATCACTATCCCAAAGTATGAAGAATGATCCAAATGATCATTCCACCATAGATTTGAAATAATGAAGGTTAAACAACTTCAATAACCAACAATTCATGATATTTAAGTTCTCGTTGACCAAAATGAAAAAAGAAATAAATCGAGATAAAATAAAATAAAAAGATATTAATGGATAAAAAATATTGGATCACAAAAAATAGAAAATAAATATAAAAAATTAAAGAATGACAAAGAAAAGGAAAAAGAAAAAAATAATAATATGAAGAGAGGGTGGATCGTGTGGTGTGTATGGTGAAAGAATCAAACGGGCTTAAAAGTCCATGAAATCAAGGTCGTTAATTTTTTTTTTAAAAAGAAAAAAGGAAAGGCTCAGCATTAAAACAAGGTTTCCTTCACTCAACCAAAGAAATCGAAAACTACCTCTTCCTCTTCTTCTAACACAGTTCACCCTCAAATCGATCCTCTCTGTTTTCGATTCTCTCTGCTCGGTCTCTCTCTCTCTCTCTCTCTCTCTCTCTCTCTCTCTCTCTCTCTCGCGCGCGCGATTTCATTTTATTTCTCAATCTCTCCTGCATATGGTTTGTTTCGGATCTTGCTCCTTTTTCATCTCTCTCTATTTTGTTTTCATTTCTACTCGTTTTGTTTCGGTTTATGGTTGTGATTTAGTTTTATTGAAAGATTAAAGAAGGTTTGTAGTGATTGTTGCTGTGATTTGTTCACGTTTTGTTTGAATTTGCAGGTGATGAATGAATGGGGTGATTTGAGTTATTTGAAGGTAAATTGGTTTAAAGGAATTTCAGCAAGGGTTTCTTGGCTCTTGAGGCTTGGAAATTGGAGTGAAGAAGGGTGGTTATTTATAGGAGAGTGAGAATGATTTGGAATGTAGTTGT